TTAGCAAACAATTTTGTCTTCAGTTTCTTAAAATTCAACAATTTTTTAATTAACAATCGTTAAAAATATCTTCATATATAGATTATAATTATTTAATCAAATAATTCCCTTGGACGAAGGTATGTGGCCAAAAATGCAGACACTTTTCGTCACATCGAATTTTTTTTTAGAGGAACTATTTTATTCTACGCAGGCGCCTTGCGGGGAGATATAGCATATTAAAGGGTGAAATGATAAATTCTCTATTCTGAAAAGGACAGGCAGGTCGAAGTCACAGGCTATTACTATCTCCAAAGCCTGTCACGATTATTCTTCATGAGTTCTCAGTCGTCTTAGACTTCCCAACTCATTTAATTTTGAGATTTACAATCATAATTTTTTGTACGAATTTCACCAAGAAAAATCACTTTCAAAGTTCAAGTTACTTTTTCGGTGAAATGCGTACATTTGAGAATATTTGTACTGCTCTAGGACTATTCTATATTCTCTCTTTATAAACTCATAATTTGACCCATTTATCGAAACAAAAATGCTAATTAATAGTAATATTGGGATTATTGTATATTTTTTCTGCGATGATTTTGGCGGGCAAAATTTGACACACAAGAAATTATTTAATATTATTATTATTATTATTATTATTATTTAAAAGAAATTAATATTAAATGGTAAAATATCTTTCCTCCCTCGAAATTCGTGGAATTTTTAGTCCGATAAGAGCACTAGATATTGAAGAATTGTTATTTCTCTGAAATTTTCTAATATATCTGGAATAATTTATTAAATTAGATACTCCGATAATCACCCGCTATTTTTGGTAATATTAAATTTTTCAGGATTGATCATTTAGATGGGAAATTTTTTGTTGAAAAATCGTGAGAATGAAATGATGAGTAATCCTGCAAAATCACTGGTTCCATCCGAAAACCTGCGGCGGAAAAATTCATGACAAATGTTTTCTATTCTATTTTGACATGTTTAATGTCTCAAAAACTGTTCCTTTGGAATTTTCGAGGGAAAAAGGAAGTTCCGGAGGCGCGGTGATGAGGCGAAAGATTTATGACTGCCAAGGTTTTTGGTTATGAATGGGGGGATTCCTTTATTAATGGAGACCCGGATTCAGAAGTTTTTCGCCTCTGGCTCTGCCGTGACTAATTTACCCGAACATTCTTTTTTTACCACTAATTGTTTAAAAGTCACCTTCATTATCTAATCATTTTTTTCCCGTCTTTGGAATCGCTTACAAATTTGATTATAAAACCAAAAAAATTCCTTGAAAATCCCCTCTCAATCAGAAAAACAAACATAAAATTTCCTATCTCCTCCGAATTACAATTTCGTCTGTTTCATTTGTCCCAAAAAAAAAATATAACTCAAAATATAATTCAGTACAACTGATCAGATGTCTTAATGCACCGTCGAGATAATTTTAATCATAAAAATGACGTCTACTACTAAATTTTGTCTGTGTAAAAAACCATTGGAAATTTTTTCTCTAAGTGTCAGAAATTTCCTTAAAGTGTCATCGCTTTATTTATGTAAATAAAATATATCAATAATTTAACATGGACTAAAGGATTAAGACTTGAGTTTCATTTGAATTGACTTTCGTCTTCCTGCGATTCAACTGTCAATATATATTGATAAAATATAATTTTTTTTAGAAATTTCTACAACAAACGCTAATATCATTCTATCCACTCTGATTTCCTGTCTCGTCCAACGGTTTCTCCTCCACGTCTGCACTAATAATAATGATGGTTTACTTATTGCTACCTATGTTTTCACCGTACAGGTAATAAGATGGTCCCTCCAGCGTGATTGCATGTACAACGGGTGTCTCTATTTACCCAACATTACTCCACAAGGAAATATTATACAACCTACAATACTGCAATTACAAAATAAGTTGCAATTCTAAAACCAAATGACAAATGTCTTTTTGTTTGTCCAATAATTTGTAATCTTTGATACGGTACCTCTACGTAAATGATATATAAAGTATATCTGATATTGAAAATTAAACCGATTGAAGAGTTCGGTTGATGTCACTTCATTTATTGAGTTCAATCATTTTTTTTACTTTTATGTACTTGGTACATAGTCGTAGTAGTTCACTGGAAATAATGTTGATTGAATTACGTATAATTCCCTGCGCAGTTATGAAGACAACGTTTTTGTTGGCGCATGCCAATATTCGGTGATAATTACGGATTTTTGATCAATTGATTTTTGATTCATTAATTTATCTCGACTGTTCAAAATCATCGGATAAATTTGTTTTCATTCACATATCGGAGATAGCCGCCGCTTATATTCAGTTCAATTATCATTTTTATCAGAATGAAGTGCATTTTAAATTGATTTTAAATGATTAATGAAAAATGAAGGGTTTAGTAATGGGTTTTGGTTTAATAATCTTGTGTGAATTATTTTTCAGAAGTCATGACCTTAAAAATAGTGTTTCATATACTGGAATTAAATTCTTCTTCAAATTCAATAGCTCGTGACGATCCTAACGAATCCTAACGATTTTATACATGTTCTACGTTTATTTCTGATATATCATTTTAAATAATAATTAATCATGAGCGAAAAATCTTTTTTTCAAGTCAATTAATGATTCAATAACTGTTATCTAATGGTTATCCACCTGAACATGCCAACGCTCCACTGAATAGTTCGGTAACTATTATTCAATAATTACTAACTCATCGGCGGTATTCGGCACCGGCTACCGGAAATCGTTAATATCAATGGAATTCTTCAATCAGTGTAATAATTGGTTATCTATCTCACTATCTCAAAAAGCAAAGTGGATTTCTGATAAAACGTGAGTGAATTTGATTTAAAGAAAAGTATCTCCGGCAATTACAAAGAAGTCTCGATTCCACACGTGAATTTTTAATTAAAAATTAATATTCACTTCCAAACTTCCATGAATTCACAGGCATTTCCATAAAAATACTATGAAAACATAAAAGACAGATCTCGGCGTTAATTGTAAGATTAAGTTGCAATTAATATGATGTAACAATGTCATATGTAAGTATTTTAATGTAATTACAACTGTAATTGCAATTTCACAATAATTAATTAGGGAAAAACTGAAATATTTTTGTGAAATTTTGAGTATAATCTACTCGATTACTAAACATCCGGGTAAATGTTACCGTAAATATCTTTCCGCGAACATCTATATTACAATGATCGATACGTAATTAATGAATCAACAACGGAGGTATAAAATGATGGAATTCAGTTGGCAATCCGATCTGCTGTACAATGAAGTAGCAGACGTAACCCGAGACGAGGCTATACGAGACCGATTGCTCATAATTTTCTCCCCCGACAATGCCTATCGCTCTGCGATTTGTTCCTCCGATCTCCTTCGAAAGTACAACAATAAACACAAAGAAAAGTGAAAGAGAAAGAGAGAAGACTGTAAGAGATAATCCGGGAGTTCCCCGGATGATTGTTGATAGTAATGCACTACTCGTTTGACTAATGCTACATTGTTGAGTTTAAAGGCGCCTTAATCACCGTAATCCATTATAATCTACATGGTAATTTTGTTATGCGATAGGAATTTATTTGCTCCTGGGGCCCGAGATTAATACGAGTTCTTATCATGATTGCCTTAATTGGTGATTCTTTTATTGTGGCTATTCATTATCAGGACGTCTCGGTGGTTAATTGCCACACGATTGCGATTGAGAGACCCATGAATCTTCTTTATCCACTGAGGACGTCAGTCCCCATTCGTAAACCAGCGCTTGTCATTTTATCTACTGATTGTCAGGTAAATTTTCACTTGACTGGCAGTCGATAAGATAGGTTCAATGAAAATGTAATTAGAGATTATGCTATGAATATAGAGGAAACTACTAGGTCCTAAGAACGTCAAGAGATCTTCGATCATTTTTTTTGCTTCCGAATGGAAACAGTGTAATCGATAGAGTTTGAGTTTCTCATTCTCCATATTATTTCAACTCAATATTATTTAAGTTTAAAAATGCAATTTTTGTGCATATGTAACAAATTTTTCAGATCATCATCAATTGGGGGCTAGTGTATCTACGGAATTAAATAATTTTGTTTCTATATGCCGGCATCGATAAAATTTAATCACCGATGTTAATTAGAAGTTCATTCATTTATTTATTTTTTGCATTTTATAATTTGTCCAAAAATCAGTTTTCGCCTGATAACTGAAGGAAAAATTATATGAAATACTTTAACGATGATTTGATAAATTTGTTTTTATGTATTTTTTAAAATCGGAAATATTAGCAAAAACCGCTATATCGATATATAAGAACTTTAACTCTCCCCCAATTAACTTTGATTAGAGTTTGAAATGATAGTTTCGCCATAATTTTTCAAATGACCATTTGAAAGCGTATAGCTAATTTATTAGCAAAAACTACTGTAAAATATTGTTGTACGTAATAAAAGGACAATTTCCTACTTATTTTTTTTTTCTTCCAAAAAGCTTGCGACCAATTGTTATTGTGTCATTGAACTCTATGCATTGCAGAATTAAATAAAATATAAAGTTTCTGTATTTTCAATAAATTGGTGGGTGAAAGATATTAATAATGGAAGGAATTCTAGTCTCAAGCAAGAATTTCACTACTTCATCGTTGATGAATGTTTACAAAGATAGTAAAGCAATAAGAAAATATGAAAAATGATGGATTTAAGCATCAAATTATTCATCATGCCTGTTTGGAATTGATGCCCAGGAGATAATAATTCTCGTCTCTCCAAATTGATGTCAGATTCCTGAAACACTGTATTATTAATGCTGAATTTCCATCCACAGAGTTGGAAAAAAAAGTCCTGAAAAATGACGAGTCCCGTCAAAATACTACCATGATCCACTAAATTGCTATAATTCTGGACCAACGTCCGTCCTTGACTCGCCTAAACGAGTCACATCCAAAAATAAATGTCGGCAAAATCACGTCTTGAAATCTAAATTCCCTCAGAGCACATCAATTACAAAAGCTAACCGCAACAATTTATTCATAAATAGTACAATTATTCCAAAAAAATGTTACAAATGAAATTTACAAGAGAAGAAAAAAAAGTGAACAAAAAAATACTTTACTAATTTCTCTACAAAATAGATCAGACGAAGAGGAAAAAAAATATCTGTTTATGGTTTAGTGTTGTCTTAAATAATGGTGCATGTTGTCAAAATGATTGAACGATTGTCGGCCCCCCACTAAAATATGTTATGCCTTCCTCTTCTTGGCAGATGCACTTTTTTTTGTAGTTTTTTCCTTGCCGGCCTTATTGGCGTACTTGTCGATGAGTGAATCAAAGAAACTCTCAGCCTGATTAGCTCTAGCCTTATTACGATTTAAAATGGCCAGTGCTAAATCATCGGAGCGACTGTTATTTTCATCGTTGTCAAGCAATCGAGATTTCTCGAGTCTTTCAGCCTCAGCAGCTTCTTTGGCCCACTAAAAGAATCATAAACCATCAATTGATAACATTTTCTTAAATAAATTTAGGGATGGCTGGGATAATACGGACACATTTATTTAGTAACGTTGGGAATTTCCCATGGATTTTTTCATAAACTTATGAACAAAATGTTGCTTCCACCATATCATAAACAAAAGTTTCTCATTAGATTAAACAAACACTCGATTGTTATATTGAACAAATTTCTCAGCAAATACTCCATAATTATTAATCCTTTCCAAACATGGTATTTTTATAAATCGAATGTCTGTAAATAGTTTATATAGTATCATTTATGTACTGTCAATGAAATATTCAAATTGAACTTTAATTATTCTGAAATTCTAAAGTAAAAAAAAATACTAAAATTGAACATGATTGTAGTCAGAATTTTATTTCGTAGGTATTTAATGTATTACTTACGTTACGTTACGTTATTACTTACGTTGCCATCAGACAGCGTTCAAAGAGTATTAAAATAAGATAGAGAAGTGGTAAAATGGACACGGTAATTTTTTTTTAATGAAAATTTTCCCAAGTCCCCACCATTTGGTGAGATCAATGAAAAATTCATTTTCAAGTTCGTCAGTGAGTTCATCAGTGCAGTAGTAAATAGGAATGATTAAATAAATTTGACTATCTCTCTAAAATCCAGAGGTATTCGTCAAAAAGTGAGTCATGAGCTAAATTCAATTATGCCCCTTCACCACTTTGCTACTGAGTTGAATCATATCGGAGCGTAAAGAAAAATTGAAAAAAAAAACGTATTCATTTTACCTCACGTGTCCATATTAACCCGGCCTCCCTTATATTTAGACTGATTAGAGGTTTAGACATAAGCAGGGATGATGGTTCAGATGTGAATGATTAAGCTCTTTGAAAATTTTTTCGATATGGTACTCCACTTGTTGTCGGACTCAGGCACTTGTGAATTATTTATAAAATCTTCGATCACCGGCCCACTTCACATTTAGAGACGGAAACTATCTCGTGATGGTTCAAATAAAACAGAGACACGATTGCAGTGTGAAATAGTCTCAACTATTTCTGTAGCCATGATGCTTCGAATTATCAAATCAAACATTTCCCCGGATGATACGTCATCGGTAGAGAAAAGACATTTTTAAATCTACTCTACACATGGTACAAATGTGAATGGCAAACGACCGGATACCACACGTGTGCACTGACTGAATGCAAATGATTACAAACAGAATGGCCGGAGAAAAAAAAAAGGATTTACGGTTAAGATAGTTTCAACGGAATTTTCGACTGAAGTTGTTAAAGTAATGAAAAAAATTTCACGAGGTCATTTCACTCGGGACAAATTTAAACATCTGCAGTTCCAGTCGCCTTTCCTAGCTCAACAATTTCCTTTTCATTGTAACAATACGTGGAAAATCCGAGAGACTTGGTGTATAGGTATTGCCACATCTTCCAGAAAATTGACAGAAATATAAATATTGTAGGGGAGCCTGAGGTAATACAGATATGTTTTTATTTAAATTTAAAAAGTAATCAATTATTATCGAGATGAATGTTAAATTGATAGTTCCAATAAAATAATTTTTCAAATTGTTTAAGGGTATAATAAAGTGAGCATGAAAGCACATCATGGAAGCACATCATGGAAGCACATCATGGAAGCACATCCACGCGAAGAGATAAATATTATAAAAATTGCGTGCCTTCCGTAATCTGCCAGTCACAACAGTTTTCAGTAAAAATTACTGAACGGTTACGAACTTTTTCACTGAACGTTTCATACTTTTTTCTGAACACTCCGTACGTGAAAGTTCAATGAAAAAATACGTAACTGTTCCGTCTGTTTTGACTGGGAGATTACGAAACAGTCACGTAATTTTTATTTAATTTTTCCCTTCGTGTAATTACACTGTAGGAAAATTACATTCGTAATTTCAAGTTTTCAAAAGTGACAGAAGGACATGAAATTTCGTTAGAATCATTCGTTGAGGAATTAATTAATTTTTCGATACAGGAAAGCCGTGCAAATTTTAAAAAATCAAGCAACAATTTCCCTAAGTTTATAATCTATTCAAAATTACTTTCCATCTGATATTCTATCTTCACGAGGAGCATGAAAATTCAAGCTTTCATTAAAAAATCAATTATGATTTAATATAAAACCCAATTTTCATGAACTCTCAAACTAAATGAGAGAATTAGGGATCGTTTTTACTTGAAATTGAGTTCAAGCTCATATAATTGAAAATTCAGATGACTCTGGCTGCAATTTTGATAAATTCTCAACAGTATCGAGTCTTATTAGCGATTTTCTCGTATTAGTTACGGTTTTTTATTTCTTCATAATACCCCTTGACCACCAATTTATCTCTTAATGTTTGTTTAACTCTAGACAAATGTTAAAAAATAAGAATGGAACAATTGATTAATGAGTATCGATATTACCCCAGCCTCCCCTATATCAATATTTCGTAAGAAATAGTCTTCGCAAAATGCCCAAATAGAATAACAGCAGATTTCTCAGTGTCACGTTCCACTTCTCTGAATTTCGCCGGAGAGAAAAAAAATAGAGCTTCAAAATGCGTTCAGTGCCATGCGAAATTCCGGTATTTATAATTTCTGGCAACTCTCCTTGTGGCACCCATTTAATGTTGGGTGCCCCAACCGTTGCATAACTATGATTGTACCCCCAGGGTATATTGCTCACATCTGCGATAAACCCTAACAAAACCTCAACTAAATCTTGTTCGATTCAACCAAATAATGACTTAAAAATTAACTAATAAATAAATTAATTAAAAAAATTATTTGATTAGACTTCGAAAGTCTCAAATATCAATAATCGTTCTTGTCAATATGCTCCCCGGACAGCAAGGAAATATTTTGTCTTTTGTCTTTTCCGAATAAAAATATTATATGTTTTATAAATATAATATCTTTGAGAGAACAGGAAAATTATCGAGAGAAAATTCAAATAAAATTCCATCACTGAGTTGCAAGATTTCATTAAAGAATTCATTTAATGTTCATGACTATTGAATAACTTATTTCACATAGAAATTGTATTTCTTAGAAGCCGCATACGGGATCATCTGATAGCGAGAAAATAGTACTAGAAATATCGTTTTTGGCTTAACCCTTTGCGCAGAAAATATTTTTTTCTCAAAAGAATCGTAATTTTTTGCATGTTTGGCACAAAAATAATGCTTTCTCGACGATTTTCGAGACGCAGTTCATTTGACGGGAGTAAAATTTGGTTGAGACTACCCCGGTATCTCTGTGTCAATCGAGGGAACGTCATCCACCCAAAAAAAATCTTTCGCAACGTTATGCAAATAAATAGCGTGAATTCTCTAAATTTGATGTGGCGTGGCACATGTTTGATAAATAGCGACTAATAATAGTCTCATTGATGAGATCATAGTGATGGCTCTCAAAAGATAGCAAAGGGTAAGGTTCACTGACGACGATGAGTGAGATTATTGGGTAATTATTGAGTAATTATTGAGTAATTATTGAGTAATTATTACATATTGGAAAGTAAGGGCTAACAAAAATTATAGCCTTGTAATTGCTGCCCCGGGAGTTAATAACCGACACTCCCTGATTGCGCAAAAAAAGTATATCCGGGGAAATGGGAGTTTGAAAATGGATATAATGCAGCCGATGGTTAAAAAAGCTAAATTATTTAAGGACAGCCTTGTGCTGCATTGATTTTCCCCAAGGAGTTGGAAGCATTGATTATAATTGTCACCTCTGAATGTCATTGCTACGGACACCTGCGACACTTAGTCAACGCTATGGTAATGAAAGAATGTGCCCTGCATTCTAGGAAAATAACACTGGAGCGTTAATAAGCTGTTGCTCTTGTAGATGATTAATGATTCTTGAACATGTTAGTCATCTCAAATGCATGTGACCCATTGAGAAAAAGAGTAAATGAGTAACTGAGCACTTCTGAAAGACGTTAATCCAGATATACTAATCAGTGTCATAGTCTTCACTACTCTCTGATTGATTCTAATTGATGTGGCTGGAACGATGCAGTAGGGAATTCTCATGGTTATCGCATTCATTGGTCCCTATTTATTTCAATTTCATTCTGAGGGAAATGCCGCGGTTATGTTGGTATGGAGAAGACTTTAGAGAAACATATTAGGAGAATTATTCTGTACGTCTACTAGTCTTAATCTCTCATTATTTAATTCTACTCCATGGTATTAATATGGAAATGAGAAAAATGTGGAATTTTCTGAACAGATTAATTAGTTTTAGAGGATTTGACATTGAGATGGTTAAAGGAGACATATCATGGAGTTTCAAATTTTATTTTACGGAAAATAAAATCTATGAAAAATTACGTGACAGTTCCATAATCATCTGACTGTGACCTTGCAACACGGAAATTTTCACGGATGTCTTCCCTGATTTTCGTGCGACATTTCCGTAAGATTTACGGAATTGCAAGGTCACATCCGGATTACGGAATTCTCACATAATTTTTCATAAATTTTTTTCTCCGCGTGGAAATTTTGAAACTTACTTGGATTTTCTATTGACTGATTCTATTAACCCATTTTTGGAGTTGATGTAGATGTTCCATAAAAATATCGAATGCGTTTGAGGTACCATTTGTTTGCGAATTATGCAATTGTGGATTTTTTAAATTTGTTGCTAATATCAAGTATATAAATGTTCAATCTTTTACTCCTTTTTTTGTATACATATGTTAATATACATATGTATACATCCGTTTTATATGTTCTATAAAAATTCTTGGAACTATTTTAGTAACATTTCGGGCAATAATTGAGATACAAATATAAAAATTTAAATTTTCAACAGAAAACTGTATAAGAATTTCAATAGAATTCCAAGCAAAAACTTATTCCACCAGAAACGAAATAAAAAATCTGAGAAAAATCGCACAGTCTTCCGTTGAATGAACTACAGAAAAGGTTCTCGACCATCTCCTCGAACCCGAGACTTTCAAAGATCCAGGCAAGCTGATACACACGAGAAAGCATTCAACTTCCAACCACATCTGACAATAATTCACAAAAGATGCTCTGTCGGGACCAGTAAATGTCGAGACACGCAGTCTAGCTGCATCTAGCATTCAACTGGAAATTCATGAGTGCACCGAGTTGCAAATGGGACAGAATAAAAAAAGAATTTGTGCAAAAATGACGAAAAACGAGAGCAAAATGGGCGCACTTGTGACATTATAATGAGGAATGACCAACGAATCCGCATGCAGACGCCCTTGAGCCCCTTTAGACATCTGGCGGGTCGCCCTGATCCCCGGAAACAGAAAATCTGCGGAGCACCCAAGAAATCCAACAAATCTGATGCGTAGGTAAAGCATCGAGAATCGGAAATTACACAATCACCTTCACTCATCGTGTTGGAATTCAGATCAAAGTAGATTCAACCAACGAGAGGAGACTGTTTGGATTCCAGGAAAATAACTTGAAATCAAGCGAGTACACATACTGACTCTAACAAGTACAAAGTCATCGGTGATACCAAACGAGACAACAGTGTTCATCTGTTCTGTACAGTATGAAAATTCAAAATGTTTAGGAAGTACAGTTGAAAGACGAATTGTTAAAAAAGCCACATAACAAGGAGCTCGTTGTAATTCAGCTAAAACGATGGCGTTTAGAAGTGCGGTAGTAGCGAAATGGATGAATGACTCCGATTCGTTATTACATTTAATGGCCAATTGTGTTGAAATCCACGAGTCATTGAAGGTCGAGTGGTTAGTGGTACGAACCAAGAATGACGATTGGTGTGAATTATAAATGTGTACGTTTCAAATCCGCGCTCTATCACCCTTCAGAACTATCTTGCGTGCTATGGAAATATCACATGACTCAATTCATTCCTTCATTTATAGTGATTGAGAGAACAATTCCAGAGAACTCAAGGAATTCATGGTCACGCACTATTCTGATATTTTGACAAATCCATGGAAGATGCTATGGGTTAAACATACAGGGATCAATTGAAATTGTCTCAGCATTGCTCCAGAGATTGCGTAATTTTCTACATACTGTTACCATTATTCGTATTGGTATGGAGCATTGGTAATTATTTCATTAGCACTGCGGATGTAATGCGAGCCTCGTACCTCGTTAGGTCCAATTATTATTGTTATCACGATGTATTACATTGGAGTGTGTCAACGTTATTCATGCGGCGAAAAAAAAGGTCATTCAATGTACTTAAGCAAGGATCACGATACATCGAGATATAACGTTATGAAAACCATTATGTTACGTACGCAATTCTCAACGAGCCATGGTCATCTCTCATCTCACGACCCCTTCCAATCGAGTCAAATTCCATTGTCCCACTCCCAATTGTCCTGACAATATTTTTCATCCACCGACGAGCCTTCAAAATCGTGGCCTGATATTTTGTTAATAAATAACTTAATGCATATCTTCGCTATATCGCCGTTATTCATCTGCTCTGTTTATAGTTATCTGATAAATTAGAATAGGTACATGAGTCTCGGTTTTTTTTTACTCTTCTGTATGAAGCTATGATTATTCGAATGAAGTCTTGCATCCTCCCCTGCCTCGTACACACGCACACCCCCTCGCCGACTAGAACGTTCTGATGAGTGAGTAGAAAATTGTCAATAGGACGAGTCCAGCAGAGGAGGCAGTGGAGTGCGATGACGAGCCTTTTGGCTTGGGGGTCGTTGGAGATGATGGTAGATCGACAGCTACTGGTGCCTTCTCATCGACCTGCTGATAATTCTCGAGGGGTCGTGGGTGAGGGTATGCCTCACTGGTTGGTTTGGGGGGAACTAATGCTGGCCTTGATGTTTGGTAATTAGGATCTGGATTGAGTGGTGGTCTTGATGTTTCCATTGACGGTGGTACTGGTTGAATTGGAGGAAAATCGGTCTCGCTGAAGATGTCGTCCGAACCACCGGTCCACGATATGTCACCTGTACCCTCCGTTTGGTATCTCGTATCGTCTGTGTAGGGGTAGGGATCTTGGGTCGAAGACCTCGGTGCTTGTGGTGGATAATAAGGGTCATTGTAAGGTGGACGTGTTTGTGATGGTTGGGGTTTTGATTCTGTCGGTGTTGGCCAATTGCGAGTTGGATAAGAAGCCTCTGATGTGTAACTTGGCGTTGTGTACCAGGGCAGTGGGGTACGTTGTGATGCCTCACTGGTTGCTTCGTAATTTGGATATGAAGCAGATGTTGGATAATTGGGTGCAGCAGTTTGATAGTAATTGATGGTTGACTGTGGTGGTTGAGTTGAGACTAGGCGCTCTCTGTACGGAGGGGTTGGCGGTTCCATTGGGCTGATAGGAGGAACAATTATGTCTTCGGGGAGTTGACTCCACTCGGGATCCTTCTCAAATGTCACCTGCTTCTGCTCTAGGACCCTTGACAATGCATTTGGACACTTGAACTCTGGATTTTGCGCTATGAAGATTCGATTGAGAGCTTTGTGGCGCGCCAATTCGTTGACATTGAGACATTGCAATTTATTACCCGATATTCTGAAGTCAACGAGATCAGGTGTATTATCGAAAACACCATCCTCGATACTCTCGATTTCATTGTAATTTAGATCTAGATATGTCAGCTGTTTGAGACCCTCGAGCCATGACGCCCGTACGGTCCTCAAATGATTATTATCAAGACGCAATTGCTGCAGGTTTCTCAGCGCTTTGAAGGAATCTGGCTCAATGTCCTCGATCCCACAATGGGTGCACATCAATATCAATACATTATCACCGAACCGGGAAAACGTATCGCGAGTTATCCGTGGAATTTTCATGTTAGCAATTCTAATTTTTTCAGTTTTCTCAGGAATCGAGTGGAGATCATTCACATAGCCATTCTCACAGGCGTACTCAACCATCTCTTGATTGGGTACATTAACGCAAGCACCTGATGCATACGTCGTCATCAGGAGCAATGGCAAAAGATTGCGAAGCATGTTGAACATTTTTGTTTAAATTCAATGGTCACTTTTTATTTAACACTTAAATGAAAAGTTGGAACTTTTAGGATCAACTATCGCACATGTTTCGAGGGGAATGAGACTCAATTATTGGAGGGATGTGGTCGGGGTGAGTGGTACGAGAAATACTGTTACGTGAACTTGGTAGAACTGGAGTGATCTTGAGCGCGCAACGGTTATTTATTTACCCGGTATACCCCTTCTATTTCAATTTCGACCTCCCTCTACTCCCACATGTGTTACGATCAAGCTAATGGGCTGACCGCCTATCGGTATTAAAATAGTCGCCTTCGATGTCTCTAAACGATACACCAGGGGCATCTTGTGGTTATCTTTGATAACAATTATCTAAACTACAGGGGTTTTCGGTGGAAATTGGCGGATGGATTGATAGAGTTGAAGGATTTATCGTGGAAATTAGTGGAGGATGTTCACTCACTTTGCGTTTTCGACGGTCGCTCTTCTTCTTGGACTCTTTGGTGAAGGACTCGTATTCCGGCACTTCCTCCGCCTCGATCAGTTTGAATATTATGTCCCGGAGGCGGGGCTCTTCCTCGCAGTTTGTGAAGGGCACCGCTTCCAGGATGTAATCCATATCTCCTTTACCTTAATTGGCAGAATTGACGGCATTTAAGTTATTTTGAATCATTGACAAGGTGTACATTATGTGACTCACGGAATATCATAGTGTCGGGGAAATAACTAATTTTAATGAGGCATGAATATTTCATAAGATACTGTGAAAAAAAATAAAAGGAAAATCTTCAATTGCATTCTACACTTTGCAAATGGTGTAGTTATTCCTTAATTACTGCATACACCTGAATACCGTTGAGTGGTATGTGATCTAGGTGGAAGTGTGAATATTTAGGTATTCATAAATCACGTAATTTCACAACTGAGGGCCCTCGGGCGATAGCCACCCGCAAGGTTACTTGCTAGGAATAACGCTCAACAGTATTGAATAAAAGGCAAATCGTAAATAGAGTTATCACTGCCGAGGAAGTTTTGTTTTAGTGCTTTCAAATTATAGAGTTCTTTGCTGCATTTTTAATAGAATTGCGTAGTTGTAGAGGCGTTGAAAATAGTACAATTACTGCAATGTTGAGGTTCTTAGAGCTATTGCATTTCAATCTTCAATCCTGGGGAATTTTTTTTTTGCTTTTTTATTGAGGGGTAGTTACAGTATGGTGGCTTTGCAAAGTGCTGACAATTCTGAGAAGTTGATCGATTGCGGAAGAACGAAGAATAGAGAACAAATTGAAATACATGGGTATTTGCGCGGATGATAAACTTTGTTTTAGATTTTATTTAAACTGGATTAATATTATGCAAAACGTGATACATGGAATACGATACCGGAATATTCCAATAGGGAATTGATAACTCTCGATCGAAGTAATGGAATCGGAAAATTCAAACGTAAACAGAATATAAATAAAACATGGAAATCACATTTTCACGTTCAAAACACCCGAATTCCATTAAAAATTATGGGAATCATTTAACCTCAGGTTTTTTTATGCTGATCTGATGAGCTTTCAAATGAATATACGATACATTATCTCAATACGAAAGGAAGAGAAAAATTAGCTCAAAAACGAGAGGAAGGGGAGCGCTATGAATTAATTTTGATGGATCGGTAATTAAATTGAAACTTACTGTCCATATAGGCTCGTTTCAAGTCCTTAACCTCAGTCTCTGATCCTTTATACTCTTGTTCATATTTATTGATATCCTGTACAGTGATTGGTTTGAATAGAGTCTTCCAATAGTCACCCCAATTTTTCATGACTACCTCCTCACTGTCCTCATCATACTGTCCAGTCTCATCGTAGATTTTTCGTTTATCATTGTCACTGAGGATTGAGTGAATGAACCCCAGGACTTTGAATTTCTCTGTGGCCTCCTCTTTTGTCGTCTCATCCACGCGATCAGGATGAACCAAAAGGGATAATTTGTGATAAGCTTTTTTCACTGAAATCATCAAATAAAAAATCTCATTCTAGCTGATTCATCTTGATATACCTGAAAGGTTCATGTAGGGCATGAAGCACGCAATGAATCCTTCAAACTATCCAAAAATAAAAACTCCATTCTCTTATCATGCATTAATTATAAAAACTATGTAAATGTGTGATTTAGGTCCGACCAAAACAATGATCATTAAACTATTAATTTCTTTGATGAGAAATCCATTCTTATTCTCTTGACATCCCAAATAAAAAAAGAGAAGAAGGGAAAAAGCAACACAGAGAGAAAAACTAAAATTTGCTAAGTAGTTCTGATGTAAATTCTGTTGCCCCTGAAGTTCCTTAAGCTCCTCCTTCCCCGCCACCCATGCTGTTACTGTTGACACGACGAGTGAGTGATATTATATTCAATAATTTGAATTTATACAGAAGGGTAAAGGCGGATAAATCGTGTTTACCCAGTGACAGTAGATTGTCGAATAGGGTAACTTTTTGGAAAATATCTTTGTGTGTGTCCATTATTTTTAAATGTACCCACATGTATTCTGTTCGGACCGACAACACCACCACGTCCTCAACTCAAAGAACGGTGTATTAACAAAATATATCTCCGAAATTAATGGTTTCAATCTGAAAACGTAAACGGAATCCGTCCAATCAAATATCATCCCGAATGGTTTGGGGGACCTGAATTAGACATTTACCGAGATTGTTTTTATTCCTAGTGAAAAAAAATGATCACTATAACTTCATGTAATAATTTATTGATAAGAGTGGCGTAGAAACGTATGTAGGAAAGTGTAAAGTGTAGTATTGAAGTTTAAATCATCATCAATGTTCAAATAATTTATTTTTTGATTCAATAATGGATCGGCAAAGCATCTGTAAAACATTCATAATAGACCTTCCCCCAGAGTTGCCTGCTTACACCTGAAATATTAAAACGATAACAAGCCCTTGTCTTGTCACCTGGCAGTGTGTCATAACAAGCACATTCCCATGAGCCTCGAAATGCTTTACAACGTGTCATTACAGTATCAATAATAAATTACTTCTCCATGAACCTATGAGCCTTCACAAGTCGTGAATAATTATCGAAGGCTTACCATTTTCAACTTCAATGGAAGAAACTCCGATAACAAAGTATATAAAATAAATGCACAACATGTGAAATAAAATTTGAAACTTCTTTCCTGGAGGCTCATTAAATAGAGAATTATTAATTTTGTTTACACGAAACAGAGAGGATGAAGAGGTTAGAAAGTCTTGGCCGGTTGGACTTACCCTCTTTTTCACTGGCATTCTGCTGAATCTTCAGAACTTCATAAAAATTACGACTTCCAAAATACTTCTCACACAGGTCCACAAGTTTTGCCATTTTTCTTTTGTGCTTTTATCGACAAATACCTCCGAAATCGCGGAAATTTATTGGCAGTTTCGTTAAACACAACGGAAGATAATTTCATGTCGCCATTTTTTACCGCGAAAGTGAAGAAGAAGTGGCGGCACATTGCGTGATTTTCTATGCTGATAAAACAGTTTCAGTGATGAAACCAAAGAGGATTGACTAAAGTAGAGGTTCAGTTCTGGGGGTTGGAGTGACCTCGAAATTCACTGAAATTGAAAAATTTTAAATTTTCAGAAAATAAAATTCACCCTATTCACTGAAATTGAAAAATTTTAAATTTTCAGAAAATAAAATTCACCCTGTCGATTGGTCCCTCTGACACCGGGACTGTTCCCGAGTTCCCTGACGAGCAGACACCCCCATTGCGTGTGTCGCCCTCCCTCTCTTGGGGTGCAGTACTAGGATGCAGCTGAGCTCCCTCAAACCCCCAGAACTGAGCCTCTAGTCAATCCTCTTTGGATGAAACCCAATGACTCGGAGAAAAATTTTTTTGTCAATGAAAAAGCAACAGAAATAAATAAAATAATTTTAGTTTTTAGTTTTTATATTATAAAAATACTCATACAACATGGATTTAGTTTATCCCCAACACAAGACAAAGAAAAAGAATTGTATAATCGAAATAATTATGAAAATCTAACTAGACCCACACCAAGGAAAGGGTAGTGGCCTTTTGGGACTGCCTAAACCATTATTTACAGAAGAAAATTATATGCAATCGACGCCCCAGTATCCCACGACGTGATAACAACAATATATGACATTCCCCTCCCTCAAAAATCCATCAACTCCCACATTTCGTCATTAAACATTAACATTCGATTCCAAATACAATGGTCTTTTTGATCGCTCTTCATCAATAACTTCTCTCTTATAAATATAAAATTCCAAGTTGTGAGAAACTATAGATAATCGATATATATACATTAATTTGTGTCATGAATATAAGTTATTACATTATTTACTGCATTATCCTATATCTAGAACGATTAACAATTTGAGCAGTGTATTTAATAAACTTATTAAAATATAAGTTGTTCTATTTCACTAATCAAATTAGTATTGAATTACTTTCATCAAACTCTATTCACTTGATTTTCCCGTTGCCAAAAAATATGCTGCACCTTTCAATTAACAATATATTTCTTTAGAAAATTAGCAAATTGGGGTTTTTTTATTTCGTGATGAATTCCTCGAAAATATCATGGTATTAAAGGAAAATGAGAGAATTTTTTGTGGTAAGTATTCTTTCAACAACATTTCAGGTATTTTCAGGAGTCTAATCTTGAAATGAAATATGGCTGAAATACGAATTCGCTGGGATTGTACTGCTTCACAATTGAATGACACAAGGTTTTACATCTTCAGATTAAGTCCAAATAAGGAAGACTCTATACTCTGCTCCTATAATATCCCACGGAATATCAATATTTACCTAATAATCGCCTTGAGGAATTTTGTGGAAGCTATCAGTTTTCAATTACTTATTATTTTATTTACAAAGCGCTGCTTTCTCGCGAGTCCAACTCTGAGATTTCTAGTGAGACTATCATTGAGGTCAATGATCTCTTCCACAATATTCTTTGAAAATGTATTTGCATTTTTTCCCCTAGTCCCGTGTTTAATTCTCCCTCAGAATTTTTTTCGTCTTTCAACTAAAGAAGACATTCCCTGGTATTTTTCAATGCATCAGTATGAGATTGATCTCATTTATTGAATCCTTTCTCTTCCACTCCAAATTACATAATTCTTGTTAATTACTAAATCTGAAAGAGTGAGTTAATGGGGAAATTAATTCACCTCGCTTAATGATTTCGCAGCATAATTTATCCGAGAATACCTAAAATTGACTGAAAAAAATTCGCTAGGTAAGAGCATTTCATGTGATAACGGTGCAAGAAACATTTCGACACCGATTTAATCGTTATCCGTCTTGAACGACGAACCACCAGCTGTAGATACCGGTTTCTAAGTAATTCATTGGCTGGGTTAAAACATAATTCTACAAAATACCCGATGTCTGGGTAATATCAAATTCACTTCTTCCTCTGCTATGAACACAAACAGAAAATATTTAGACTAAAGAACTCAATTCACTGGTGAAACGTTGATACGTAACAGCAAAAGAATTAGCCATCTTGTGCTAAAACACAAATGATCTCGATAAAGAGTAATTATAGAGGACTTTAATCGAAGAAGATTAATAAAAGTGCGAATTCTTATTTGTTACGTTTTGCCACTTCACCACAGAATTATTGATTCCATCTGCTCACTTCAGTCATTCACAAGGAAAAAAATATTAAAAAATAACATTTGCTCAGTGAAATCACGCATTCATTTCAGGCATTGTTATCTAGTTTATGTCGATATAAAAAAGGAGTGATGGACTATTTCATGCGATTGAGTACCAGGTCACTGACGACGACGAGTCCCTTCGAGTATGGACTCTCTGCAAGTGATTGAGCAAGACGAACAGCCTCGATACAGTGTTTCTTCGCTAAGAATCTCGTTTGATCAAGACCTTGCGACTCGTGAACCAGTTCAAATGCTTTTTCAACATCACCAGGCTCTTGGAAACGACGCATAATCATTGGGTTCAGCTCGGGATACTGCAATTAGATGGAGAAACGTTTTTAATCGATTCTAATCCCCCATTGCAACACAGAAGCGACAGAATGAGATGATTCAAAAATTCAACAGATTAATTTCCATAAATGATTTCCATATTAGTCATAAAATCCTATAAATCTCTAAAAAAAATTAAAAATCAATGCATTATTCAGTGAGAAAAGCAAATTAAACTATTTATACTTTGATCTTTTCAAGCATTCTCTTTAATTAGTGAAATTTTAATGAAAAAGTGAGGAAATTTCGCTTCAAGATTTTTCACTTTCTTTCAAAATTTTTTGAATTTTCATGAATTAATCGATTTGAGAAAAAATGAGGATGGAAAAATATTTTTATGACTATTGAAAAAAAAGTGATGCAACGTTTTCTCCTAAATTTTATAGTAAATGAAACTTTCGCTCAATGGGGATGAATTTCTCCATTGAGCTCTTTCCATCGCTTCGTTGGAGGTCTTTTCGACAACAGGTGTTTATATTAATGAGTCTTACTCTTTCACATGCGAAGAGAACTGGTGCAGTGGCAAGACCGAGTTTGAGGTCAGCTGCTGTGGGCTTTCCCATCGCTGATGAGGAGGACACGAAGTCAAGGAGATCATCGACCAGCTGAAATGCTAGCCCAATGTTCCTGCCGTACTGAAAAGCAACTTCTGCTAATCTTTCGTCTGCACCTCCCAGCATTGCCGCCTTGATGGGAAAAGGATAGAAGTTATTTTTAAAAGTGATATTTTAATATTTTCCAAATTATAGTTCAATTTTCAATGTCAATTTTCAACACTCCCGTCGACAGGGGAGAATTTATTGCAAATAAACCATGAAATTTGTCTGTGAAAGTGGGAGAGGGGAAGTGATTTCTTTTCAACGCCGAATTTTTTTATAATAATTGTCATTCATGATAATGAAACTTTCAGAGGCAAGAAAAATATGAGAAGAAAAATAAAAATAATTTCAGGGACTTCTGTGCAGGTTTTCTCGGAGAGGTAAGTAACTTTTCTCCAAAAAGTGATAAAAAAAACTTACGGCTTTGGCAGAATTAGCAATAAGACTGGCAGTTTTCCTGTAGGTCTTGGTGAGGTAATGGGCAAATCTCTCATTCTCAGTTTCCTTTGATCCCAACTGCATAAATTCACCTTGCACTAAATCCGTAACAACCTGATACAGAATAAACGAATGAATGATAACTGCAACACAGTTGAAAAAATAATATTTACAATGAATTTCATTGAGTTCACATGGGTTGAAAACATAGCGATTCCCTAGAAATCACCGATTATGTATCGTCTACTCGTAAATGTCAGTGATAATCGGGACAGTGAATGAAAGCAGCAATCGGAGTGGGATACGAGGTATTAATGACTTTATAACTTCTTTTCTTTGGTGAATTGAAAGGAAATTCTTTTATGAGAGGAGATCGTACCTGGCTGAGGGTTAATGTGACATCGTCGCTCCTCAATCGTGCTATCATCATCGAGGCCACTGCAAGAATATAATCACCAGTCATCGCCACCTGGAATAGAGAGAAAATTGAAATTTCAACATTGGAGTTTTATATTTTCTGGTTGGCTTCATCGAATGGACAATGAGGAGTAAAGAGGGTCAAGAAATGTACGAGTAAAAGATGTCGATTGCTAAATAATCCTCTGTGGGTAAATCTATAGTTTTATATTTCGATTACATGGCTGAATATTATTTATCAAAATATTCCTACCAAATATATTCCATTATAACATTAAAATATCACATGAAATTTGATTTCAAATTCATTATAATACACCAAAATGAAGCATCTCATAATATAATTAAATATTCTGTCCAATATCATCATTAGTTATTTTTATCTATTATTATTTATAATTATAATTGTCATTATTTATTAATTAACGCATGAGAAACATGTATCTATTTTCCAACTCGTTCAGAAAGCACTCGCATCGAAACGATTTTTTAAGCCATCATTAAAATATTTCATACCATTTTTTGTTATCGTAAAAACTTGATTTTTAAAAAACGCGAAAATTTTTAATAATCAATAAGTGAATTGAATTGGAATTAATATCGGCGAATGGGCTATAACGATTACAATGCTTCCATCACGATGTAATAATTAAATTAAAAAATAATTAATACTTGAATAGGCAGTTAGAAAAACGAGTGTTTGATTTCATCCATCATTGAGTTGATTGAAACGAATTCTAAAGAAAAATAATTTCTTTGTGCACAAAACTAATTCTATTTTTGAAGCGATGTCATTATGCGAACTATTTATCATCAATTATGGAAGCCATAAAGACTTGAGACGTCATTTAGCACTAATTTCAAAAGTCAACTTGATTCTATGGGCCCTTTCCCTTCACCAAACATCCGCCGGTTCCTCTGCTACTCTCGAAAATTTATTTTTTTTTCATTTATTATTACCCTCCCATCTTCACCTGTTAAGTCATTACCATAACCCATGTGAATGAGTTTTTTCTTTCCTACTTCGGGATCCCCGGTACCGCCGACAGAAATTTTCAGAAAATCAGTTTCCAATAATCACCGTTAGCTTTATTGGTCCTCATCCACGAATTTAAATAAATTCTTGTGTATTAATAACGTGAGGTAGTTTTTATGGGGAATTTAACCATAAAGTACCGTAATGATCAGTAAGAACACTTTGAACATGAAGAAATCATCAGCAGCGATTTAATTTTCGACTTGTATTGCTTGAATGAATCCATTAGAGTCAATTAGATACAATAATTTGAAGAAATGTCAATCACTCATTTATGGCACTTCTCCTCTCTATGACATCGAAAGAAATTGTGTACAAATGATTTTACACACCTTGGGCGGAAAGTAATCAGAAAAATATCATGATTTTCTAAAAACTGTCATATAATGAATATAATGAAGATATGTATAATGAGGAATGAATATAATAACGTAATTATACGAACAACTGTTTATTTTACATCTGTACTTACTGCCAGTGTAAAAAATATAACTAAATTGTCGTAAACAACTTTGTTTACAACAGAACGAATCTTTACAGGAAAAAGTTCAATACATAAATTAAAAAAAATTGTAATTATCTATTTGACATTTATTGGTGGTTAATTTGATATTAAATTATATTCTCTACAAAAATGTTTCTCAAAACTGCTTCTCGAATTTTTTATCTGGAAATATTCAATTAACAAATCTATCAAATGATTAGATTTTACGAACAATATAGTATTTTTTTACGATTCGTTTTGGATAATTCAATAAGTTTTACAAAAGATGCAAAGCTTGAAATTGGTTTTTCCTAAAAGAACAATCTCGTTTGTATTTCTCGTGGAAAGTGCGTGCTCTATGTAAATAAGTATTTAACTCATCTCTTAATGGACACATCCACCAAATGCCAAGCACAATGGGCCATAAATAATGTGTGTCTTGCCGCAAAAATTCATCCCACAGTTGTTAACTACTGGCAACAAAAAAATACTACAGTTTCTCCCTTTCATGTAATGGTATTTCATTTCTCAATACCAGGATATGGAAAAAAGTCATTCGACGAACATTGGGATGGGTTTTTCAGAAATGAGACATCACTGAAGTGAGTTTCTCTCCATTTCGTCGGACACTTGTTCACTCGAAAAATTAAAAAAGTGGGAATATGAAAGGGGATAACTGTTCAGATCTCTCAACGGGTCTTCAAACTATGGAAATTATGTTATCTCCAGAATTATGTCATATTGTCTGGAACCCAAGAGTAAAACCGGATTCAATTATTTACCGATCACCAGATATTGAAATAAATTTTTATTTTGCAGCCGCCAAACCGAGTGAGGAAATATATGTCAAAATATTTAATTATCTTAAATATTTATAAGAGAGAAGAAATTATCAGATAAGATTCACTTGATGTTCCAGTTACTATTCCAATAGTGATAATAAAAATGAAGATAATGGAATGTTGCTTTTGCGATAACTTTTTTAGAGATTCTAAGGAAATTTTTCTTCTGAAATTCAGTTCTTACGATGAAATTTGTCTTGAGAATATCAGATATATCAGGAATAGTGAACCAATGACATTATATCATCCCAGCGTGAGTAACTGAAATTCCAGAATTTCACTTTCGCGATCGTATCGTGTGTTTGGCCACAATGACCGAAGATCTTGCGACATACCACTATTGCAAGAATCGTCTATTGGTCACGGGTAGTTGCCCGCAGTCATCAGGAGAATTATTAAAAAAGACTCCCCTTAATTGGTGATAGCTCTTGAAGCCTTCAACAACATTCCACCGTTACAAACCAGGTATCACATAAAATTATTGAAAAATAAAAAAATCCTTAAAAAAATCTAGGTGTAATGAAAATTACGTATGAAAATAATTTCTTTCATTACAGAAAATATATTTATATTCCTTTTATAAGACAACAATTATAATATACGATAAATATAGCACTGAAATAATTTTTAAAATCAATTTTTTTTTAACAATTAACTTTTAGTACTAATTGTACATGAAATAACGTATATTTCGTAACAAGTGCTGAAAATTTATTAAATATGTTGTTATTGATTCTATTTGTCGAATAAATTTAATTGATCACAATATCGATTGCCACAACGAGATTTTTAATCCGAAAATTCCCCTGAGTTCTCCAATTGAAAAAACTTGAAAAAATTCATTCTTCGTGTCTATCGTCGAGAAAGAATTCCGCAAAATCTTTTTTCATGAATTACGGAAAAGTTTCTTATACAGTAAATTGAGTAGAGAAAAAACTATAATTCCAAATATTATCGAGTGTCCTGGAATATTTTCGCGGTTCGCAATAATCCTGGAATTTCCCAAGATTATTCGTCCAGGGAGAAGTATTTTAAATGAATTAATTAATACTTAATTAATGAATGCCCAGGGTGTCGTCCGGTATAAACATTAGCCAATGCCCAATCGCTTTCTAATATTCTGCATATTCATCACTTTGACGAAGTTGTGGAGAATGTCCGCTGCATAGGATGCATGACAAATAAATCAGAGAATTCGGAGAAAGATCCGTCGTTGAGATTGAAAAAAAAAAAAAAATGATTTGTGTTGACCGATGGTCTCACTGGTGACCCGTCGATGGGATGAGACAGGTGTCTAATTAATTGTGTAACGTGGGTGCGTGTTAATGCGTCACTAAACGGCCCAACTCTTACTCAAGTATATAATACTTAACGGCCCCGGGCACACCTCAAGGACATCGACACCATTGCAACGTAAAATGTGAATGAAATCAGTAAAAAAAACACGAGTTTCTGTTTATCATGATTTCATACATTTGGGGTATAATGGGGTGGAGGCATCATCAACATTGGCAGAAGAATTCGTTTGATCTGACCTAATTAATCCATTCGAATCGTTTCTGTTCATCCACTTATATTAAATACACGTATTCGTAGGAGTCAACTACAAATATTATTGATTCCATAAAGAATAAGTTCTCATGCTTTTTTAGGAATTTAGGACATTCGCAGTTGACATTCCCTTCAATTATCATTTTTATGGGAATAAGGTGCACTCTATAGTGATTTCAAATGATTCATAAAAAATGGAGGGTTCAGTGGGTTTTGGTTTGATGATCCTGTATGAATTCATTTTCAGAAGCCATGACCTCAAAAATAGGGTTTCTTGAACTGGAATTCAATTTTTCTGAATGGCTCGTGAAGATCGATAGGATTCTGTATATGTTCTCCGTTTATTTTTGATATATCATTTCAAACCATAATTAATCATGAGCGAGCAACCTGTTTTTCAGGTCAATTAATTATTCAGTAACCATTACCATCATTCGGCAGGACATACCAACTTTCAACTAAATCGTCCGGTAACTATCCACGAATATTTAATTATTCATAATTCATCAACGGTATTCGGTCGCAGTTAATAATTAAATAAAATTAATTAAGTAAATTTTCTTGGAAAACGAAGATTTCCCTGCATTTTTTTTTAAACTTTGAAGAAGAGTTACGAAACTAAAGAAAAAAGACATAAAAATGATCGCACCACCGCCAAACGTCATGAGACTTTAAATATGGATAAAACTGCCAAAACGTTATATTTTTTCACGTCAATTCCATCTATAATTCGCCAGAAGAATAAAAAAAACATGAATTTTAGCTGAAAGGATCTTGAAAATTCTAGTATTGAACTCTTTTCTATTGTTATAAACATTGCCAGTTAAATCTCTATAATATTTCTAGAATTTCTAACAGTAAATAAATTTTAGATCGTATTCTTGAGGCAATGCACGGGAAATAACGACCTCGGAACTTCGAATGTACTTGTCAAGTCGATTAAATTTCACAGTGGTCTTCCTGAATGAATGAATGACTGTTTTTGCCTCGTGAATGGCCACTTTTTTGTCATTTTCAATCCGTGCATCAATGAATGAAATAAATGCCAAAGAGCGCGCAGAACCAAAATTTAAGTGCAGAAGGAAAACCCCGACAAATTGCAGTATTTCAATGCACAACAGACGAAGGAAAAAGTGAAAAGGTCAGAGTTTGCTATTTCAATGAGTTACAGGAGTCGCATTATGTATTTTATTTATAATGCGAGAGTGCACGTGAATCTTCTGAATCCCATTGGCCTCCTTTATTGAATCCCATGTCGCATTCCAGATAGAGAGTTCGAGTTTCCATCGATCGTGTGGCAAAAATTACTCGTGTTATATTGGTTTGAGTAACGTGCCTTCACGTTTTACCTACGTGATTCCACTACTCTCCTTCCACATTACCGTATTCTAACATTTTATTACGGAAACGGAAGTTTTGTGGTTTACAGTTGTAGTTTTATCACTATAACTCCTTGTGATACGCAACGGATGATTTTTATTACGTGACAATTATAAATTATAATTTCTTTTTGAGGCTCTACACTCGTATATAGCCAAAATGAAAAAACATTTAGCCATTTCCCACTGACATTCCTATTCATTTTTTATTCTACAGAGCGAACAAGTTTCTTTAACTCAGAAAATACTTTTCTAAAATTCATAATTTTCTGTTTATCCCATTCGCGATTCAATTATGCAGTGACAATTAATTAGCAACATCAAGAAAATCCAGGGAAACCTATTGCTAAAGTTCAGATGTTCCTGAATTTTTGATTCCAGGAAATTTCCCCCACAAATCGTATGAGACATTCATTCCCGACAATTTTGTCAATATTTTTTTAATAAAGAGAATAGAGGAAGGAAAGAGACATTATGAGAAAAAGAACTGCAAGTTTAATCGATTTTCCTTAGTAATTTATATTATTTTCGTTTATATAATATTTTCTTCTGAACTAATTCATAATCTCGACAATTCGCTGTTCAATGAGATGTCAAATATTGATCTGTCGTCATAATTGTTTAACCGTTCCAATGATTGAATCAATTTTATGAGAACAAAATTACATCACCGGCTAAGATCTAGCGAAAATACGGCGACTCATAGAATTTCACTAAGGAAGGACAATTGGAAATTTCGTTTGAAATTTAAATGAGAAAGTTCCAGTCAGTTATTTGAAATCGAATGGTCACTCATTAATCTATTATTTCTCCAAGTGTCCAAGAAAGTCAAGGGACAACTTCCGTCTAGAAATTTACGAGTGCAGGTGGAAATTTATGAGTTGTAGTGATTTATAGAAATCAAGAGAAGTAACAGTGAAAGATGAATTTACCATAAATTTTCATAAACGAGAAAGAAATGATAAACGAGAAATGATCTTACCTTTTTTTGACTCCACAGAACATTGACAGAAGGTTTTCCTCGACGGAAATCTGACTGATCTATTACATCGTCATGAATGAGGGACGCACTGTGGATCATCTCAGCAATCATCGCTACTTGTCGTTGTTTTGCCAAGAGACCGCTGAAAAGAACAATTTCGAAAATGTCATCAACTCGTAAACAACTGGAATATTATTTTTATTAGCAAAAGTTAGTGCTGAGGGAAATCGATTGAATTAGCGCTCAATCGCTCTTTTACTGTGGGTGACAGGAATTATATTGTTTCTTTCGTAAGAGTTGAGTCAAGGAAAGACTCGACCCATACTTTACCGAGGAATCATTTCGATTCATTAACCAGATTTCTTTATTTCCGTTGGTCTGCAGGAAATAATTGTCGTTTAAATAATTGAAATTTACGGGTCTGTCGATTTTTTATAGCTGCGGTTTGATTGTTTTTCAATGGGATAATTGTAATAGTTGAAATTTAAAAAATCCAAATACTTATAAATGATATTTTAAATATTTATAAATTATACTTTAAACATTTTTATTTAATCATTTTAAATTCAAATCACACATATTAAATTTCCCAATAGTGAAAATTCCCGAGAAAACTTGAGTTATGAGTAGCCCACATCCTTATCAGTGAGAAAAGAATATTTGATTTTTGATTTTTCCTCTGAGTGGGAAGTGAATTTTTTCCGATTCACTATCCCTTTTTAAAAAAACATGTAAAAGCTATGTATATCATACTATATAGAAATATAATATAATACAATATAATACAATTGTAATAAAATAATGATTTGTCTAGAATAAGAAAAAAAAAATATTGTATTCATCAATTAAATTTAATTAAAGAAAACAATATAAATTATGGGTCATTTTTTTAGATATTCAAGATTCTTTGAATATTTAGATTTTAGATGTCAAATAATAACAGCCTATAGGTGTGAACTTAGGCGGGCGGAGTGCCATATACACTCGTCAGAATAAATTTAGCGTTAAATTTCTATCCGACCACTTTCAATAATTTGAATGTATTCCTCATTTGCACTTTTAAGAAGAATTACAGTAACTGAAATAATCCATCAACTTTAACGCCCCCGAGATAATTAAAATAATGTTAGGGGGAACTGACGAAAATCAAATTAAGAAGGTTTAAAAATTGTTGTAGCAATAAAACTTACTTTCTTTCCTTGTGGTAATTGATGGCTCGCGCCATGAGTATAGCAACCATCGGTCGGAGCGCCTTTCCCTGTCCATCGAAGTAGTACGTTGCGATTGTCTTCAGCTCTTCAACATTCGTGTTCATGACGAGCTCCTTAGATAAGACCAGAAAAGTGCTTTTAGAATGATGAAGAGACAATTCTATTCAATAAATTAAGGTCGAGATCGACCTTGACTCAATTTCATGGGTAAAACCCTAGGAGAATCAACCGATTTTCCTGTCTGTCACTCCGTAAAATTGCTCTCTGCAAAGGTCACTCCTTAATTTTTATTATTTTTTGGAGTGATTCCAGGAGTTATTGCGTAAGAGGAGACCAATTATTTACTTCAGTTTCTGTCGGCCTAGGCGTCATTTCATTTCTGTTGAAACGAAAATTAAATATGAAGCGATCGGTCATTGAAATTCAACTCATGCGTTGCATTCTGGAAAGTCTGGGCCTAACGCCAAAGAATGTGACACTTTTCAATGAATTTTCACTGGAGGTATTACTTATCACATGGTGGGATTAAACGAGAGATTCTGTGTTTGATATCACCATTCAGTGCACAATTGTGAGAAAAATTATTGTTTCATATATTCGATTAAGTGAGAGAATTACTTGGAGTCTTTCACGTGGAGAAAAATCCATAATAAAATTTACCTTGAAATTCGAATGAGAATTTTTTTATTTTTTTGTAACAAAAACGATATTATTGACTGTTTTGTTTTCTGTATCAATCATATTCTTAAAGTTTCAATAACAAAGTCATCTGACTATTAAATTATGTAAGTTTAAATTGAGTTTTAATTAAAAACGGTCATTAAATTTCTCGTCTATCTTGAAAATTCAAGGAAAAAAGGGAATTCATGTTAAATAATAATTGATCTTCGAATGAAAGCTAAACCAATCTTACAAGCCGTGGAAATTTATTGAAATTATTGCTTAAATTCTAAACACTTACGGCTTTTCAATGCCGTATGCCCTGAAAATTGAGAATCACCAGGATATTGAAAAATTAACAAATTCGCTAATGAAGATTTCTACAGACATTCGATGTCACTTTGTTGTGGTTCAAACTTTCATATTTTTTACTTGCAGTTTAAAGTATAGTTTTCTAACAGTGTAGTGAATTGATAAACTATACGGCTCCCGTTTCACCTGGAGTTACTTATCGGCGCCTATCTCTCAAATGAAAAGAGATACAAGAACTTCCATAAAAATCTTTATAACAGAGCGATATATGGACTAACAAAAGATTCACATAAAAATTTCAATTATCTCTCCTCATTTCGAAAATATTCCGCGACAATTGGGGTTCATCCAAATGTATATGTAATTTATTTGTAATAATGTTAGTCAAAATTTCCGTTGCAGATTTCGCTAAGAAAAAATTTCTGCCAATTTAATTTATTCCTACCAAGTATATCAATATTTGAATTTAATAATAGCGGATTTCCATATAGTTATTAATTTTACTTGGTAAGATTATTTCATCTCCTCAGCAATGGTCTCTAAATGAGACGTTTATTTATTTTATTTATTTATTTATATTAGATATTCTGAAATTGTTGATTGAAACAGATAAATATAAATTCATAATATATTGTATTACATTATGTATATATATTTATGTATGCTTTTCTATTTTATAACGAAAGTATAAAACTAATACATCAATTAATGGATACTCAACTCAAAGATTCAGTTAATAAAATTTAACTACAAGAAAATAATGAATATAAATATTTATATAAAAAAAATACTTTCATTTTATCAACTGATCCTAATGCATGTACTTTAATAATTTATGGAAAAGAAACATATATGAAGACTATATTTAATATTTTGTTATATATTTTATTCATCGAAGACACGATGATTACCGGTGCCCCAAATGCTAATGATTGTAAAAAGTCGGATATTCTGATACCGTCTTTGATCTTCATTGGACTCTCCAGCAATTTACAATAACCGTAAATAGACTTAGAAAAAAATGGAATTGAGAACGATCGGCAGAGTAGAGGGATGAGGAGGAGGTCAGGGCCGTCGGACAGTGACTCCTTGCGTGACTTCAACGCCTAGCAGACAGCATATGCTTTCTACGCTACTGATTCTTCACGCGTGAACGATCAGACGACCGTGAGTAAAAGTTCAAGCGTATTTTCACGCACACCAGTGAAAATTGTACACTAGTATTCAGATGTGTTGGTCCTGGCTTTCGCTGAGAACGAGAGTTCGTGAAAACTCTCGGATGCATTTCTGTTCTCAAGTGGTAAAAGTTGACTTGCCTTGTTCCTCGAGTTTTTGGAAAATATCTCCAAAACCGAGGGAGACAGCGAAATTTTTATTATTACCTTTTTTGCAGCTCTCAATTACCCCCATAAAAAAGCTTTTGACGAAAATTATCGTATCTCCATTAGCTTCAGAGAAATTCCCGAAAATGGCGACTTATTGCATTTCATCACTTTGTTTAAACAGACAACACTAAAAGTACTTTAAACAATCTTATGCAGATTTTATGCATAACAATGCAGAGATGTAACGATATAGCAAAAAGCTTTCGTATGTATAAGTTATGATCAATTACTGTTAATTACGATTACTTCTTACATATAATTGGCTCAGTTGCGTATCCTCTCAGCAAAGATCTGTCTTTAGCAATAAAATTGCAGTGATACTGAGATTTTTTTGCAAGGATTCAATGCATTTCTTCAAAAATCATTTATCAATATTTCTCTATGTGTCAAAAATACCTAAGCAGTGCATATTATATGATACAATTCCACAGTATGATATCGGGTAGCTTTAGGTTTATTCTATACGCATGAAGATTCAAACTTCTCGCATAGAGTGATTGTACCGAAAGATGTGCATAGACTTTGCATAAGATTAAAGTATTCTTTGTATTTTTTTGCATTGTTGTCTACGGGGGCTATCATCACTATTATCACAGCTTACTTGTCGTATGTCGTCGTAAACGTCCTTGAGGTCGTCTTCAAGAAGTCGGTAAGGGTCTATGTGCAGCTCAGGAAGGGATCCTGGTTGTTGTGTCTGCATTGAACTCATTGATCGACATTTTCCCAACCTGTCTCCACGGGCTGAAGACTGTTGCTGAAACCAATTACGCACTATTAGAAAATTTCTTCAAATACATGGAAATTAAAAATGGAAAAATAATGCATCAAATCTCAAATAGAAGAGGGGAAGTTTTTATAGCGTTCCACATTTTTGTGACGTCAAAGAAGTCGTTGGATAGGATTTGGATTAGGTAGGAAGGGGAACACGATAATTCTCGATATAATCTTTACAAGAAAAATTACTGAAAAAATGAATAGTCCAGACCGGGATTTGAACCCGGGACCTTCCGATTATGCATCAACACTCGTGCTTCCAAATTAATCGGATATATTTCTCAAGCTTTGCTATCTAGAAACGAATGATACAATCGCTTCTAGGCAGCGAACTTATCGGAAAATATCCAACAATTTAGAAGCACGGGTGATATTACTACTGAAAATTTTAAAAGTATTAGAAACGCGTACGAAACGTGCCGAATCACTAAAACATGTAGACTCCACAGTTCGTTCCAGTCATTTACTCCATTCATTGAAATAAAAGATGTTTTTCCGAAAAAAAAATCGCTGACTGCATTATTCCATCACGCACAGTGTGCGCCTACTTATTCCACACTTAAGATAAAATAGTGAATACGAATGAGGAATGATGACCAATTGTAAAAGGCGATAATTACTCTAGCCATTGGCATTTGGGTTTCTACCCTTGGAATTCCACTTGAGTTTAGTATTCGATAGGAATTCCACGGATTTTGTAAATGTGTAAATAGAAGAGTGTGTCAATGATAATAATGCGTTAATTTGTTCAAATATAGGATTCACGCCTCTTTAGGGATTGGAAAATTAAAAATATTAATGAAAGGAAATTACTCTTAAATAATTTGAAAAATTAATTTCCAGGTTTTCAACATTTCCGGAAATTTTAGAGAAGTTTGTTCAGTTCAATGCTAATAAATATTCAAATTCAAATTCAAATTCAATGCTAATAAATATTTTAATTTATTTCCGAAAATGATAATTACTGTACCAATTACTCGTTCATTAGACTAAGCTATGATAATAAAGGGGGTTGTAATGATATTTGGGAAAGAAAATGGATTCAGTAATTGAATAGAGATTGATTGAAAAAAATTGATAAGAGCGACGTTGCAAATGGATTAATTAATTTGATGGAGGATTTATTTTTCAGTAAGACAGGCGCGCGCGTCTGACCACGTCTGTGACTTATTCACTTGCTTGATCATCACAACTTTTCATATTTTACACTCCCCTTCAAGAATCATTGCGATATACCGTCGACCGCATTTTATCATTCAACCGTCTCCGCTTTATGAGTATATTTCTACATTTTTACTCAATTTATTGATCATTTTTCTCTCGTTTTTTAATGCATCATCTTGTGTTTTGTAATGGAGATTCCGAGAGAGTCAGAGTCGAGAAGGTGTGTACGGTAAGTTGATTACCTGAGTGTCAATAAATCTTTCAGCATTGACGTCTCAACAGCAGATTGACAGAATTTCTTTCCATTTCACAGAAAATATGACAGTAATTCCCATAACTGACAGTAAATTCAAAGAAGCGAAAATTCACGAAAATTCAAGTGAATTTCATAAATACTTGAAATATATTGTAATATAAATATATCGTGGCGATTTTTTTGACAATCTCAAACTTCTAACAGATAATAAAATAACTTGGATTAAATAAATATTGTAATTTCATATTAAGATCTTATACATTCGTTTGTAATTTTTATTGAAAGGTTCAAATTTATCAAACAATTTCATTGTTTTTAACGGTTAAAGGGGGAAAATTATTTTTATTTTAGTAGAACTAATCTATAATAGCTCAATTGAGAGATCGTAATTAGGAGTTCCTAATGGATTTACATTGCGTGAATCGAATCCTCTCTTTGATTGCATATTACTTATTTTATTTGATTACCGCACAGGAAATTATCTGGCAATTACGCGGTCGTTACGCGATGGGTTTAGTTCTTGAGAAATCGCAAGGTCACGGAGGGATAATTGACGCGCATAATTGATGTGCAGAGTTTACAGATTATTCAAAGGCGTTCTCATTTCTCCCAATATTACTGTAGTTCTTCCAAAGAATTCACAAAAGACACATTAACGTCTACTTTGGATCGCTATCATGTAACACAACATTAAATTTCCCACGGTGTGAATAATTTGCATGATTTATTTATTAATTCACTTATTTACAAGGATAAAATGTCAAAGAACGAAGTTATTTCTTGCGAAATGTCCAACGGATTCTTGGAAGATTATTCAACTCTGCAATTAAGAGATCTTTCCACAGTTCAAAAAATAACAAATTAAAAATTTTGAGTTCAATTTCCAATAAAATAACAGGGAATCAACAAAAAATTATAAAATTTTTGTGGACGTTCTTATTTTTGCACTTCTTTTTGGATGTGTAATTTGATTTTTCGAAAATCTGTGAATTATTTGATTTGCTTGAATGAGGTGGGGATTACTTTTGGGTACATTAAAAAATCATGCCCCAATCATGAATTGAATTTGTCATTCCATCTGGAATGTATCTTCGAGGTGTCGGTCATAACATTATTTTGTAATTTGAAATATTTAAAAATTCATTATTAGTACATAAAGGGACAGTTGTAGCGAATAAATGTTCGGGGGAAATTGACAATTACATACCAAATATGTGAATTTATCATATTTTTTTCCTTGTCACTGTAATGTTTCGGAATAACGTGTTTTTGTTGAAATATCTTTAGCTGTAATGTTTTGAAGCAATAATCTCTTCAGTTACAATTTTTTTTGTTGTGATCTTTTGAGACACTCGCACAAACCCAAAAGACTAGACGATAAGCAAAAGAATTTTACCGCAATGAAAGTACAGCTATAACAGATTGAGTTCAGTGGAAACTATTTATTTTTTATATAAAAAATGATAAATTTTAGATGCTGTGAATATATTTATATTTATGTATTCCTGTTATATTTATATCGAAATTTAATTTTGTACCATTTTTTTCAGTTGTATATATACATACATAACTTCTTTAAATAAAGCAAACATTTTTATATATATATTATGATTATAGAGAAAAACATTATCATAAGCTAAGCTATGCAGCGAAAAACAGTGAAATGTACTGTTTACATGAGCACGTGAATAATCTTCTGTATGAAACTAAAAGTGTCATTAAAAGTAACGAGTACAACATAATAAAGCAAAATAATCAATGAGGACGTCTATGGATTGAGCAATGACCGTGTCAGATGTGTACTCATGCGTAGAGTGTAATTTTCATCGAGCAAAATCAAACCAGTTCAATCTACACTGTAAATATACATATGCATCTGGTGATCATAAACGTAGGTTAGTTGGAGAATGAAAAAATAGAGTATTAAGTGCCGCGAAAGCAAGTTCAACAGTGAACGACAAGTACTTTTACTTCAGATTCTGTGTAAATTCTGTTGATGTATTTCACTGTGTCTCGCTCAAGGACATCGAGCTTCGAAAGGGGGTTAAAATCCCAGTGTAGGACAAGTGCATGTAACAATCATTTTTTTATTCAAAGTACCCGATAGTTTCTCACAAAATTACCTTTGTTACGCATTAAAAATAATATGGACGATAATAAAATTAATCGTCAATATTTTCTCGGCCGTTTGTGAGTCAATCGTTTATTTTTTTCCTCTTGCCAACGAAATTCGGAACATTTTACTTGCCGCACTTGTTTTCTTTACGATTTTAATCATCTTAAGGATAAATCTGTAATAAGCAAATATTTGAATCGTTTTTTTTTATACATTGTGATAAATAATTGGGGAGGAAGTCCTTAGAAGTTGTAGTTATATTTGAGTCACTGAGTCATTTTTTAATTGAAGAACAAGAGGTAATTAGCAGACAGTGGAATTTTAGGGTTTTCCCCCTCCAAATTTGAATTGAGAACTTTTCCCGGAAAATTACGAGTCGACCGGCCTTAAAATTTGATTTTTGTAACGAAGTGGTGTAATAGGATCTGTGCATTTTTTCGAGGCTACTTTTCAGTTTTCAGTCTTCCTAAGGAATTGGATGAAAAAAAGAAAGATACGCTGTTAAAGATACAAGAATTAGCTTAAATTTTCAGTGAAACACGAAATTCCATGAATCCGAATTTTTACGCAATTTTTGCGTAATTTTTACGCAAAAACTTCGAGAAAAATTACGCAAAACTCTCGTAAAAATTCAGATTGGTTCCCTAGTTCTTCGCTCCATGTAAATTTCCTGAAAAGACACACCCTGAAAATAACTATTAGAATCTCATAAAAATTCAATTACGTCTGACAGTCTAACTCCTCAAATTAATTAATTTAACAATAAATTTTCGAATGAGTGGGCATTTGAAGAGTCAATTTGCCTCTTCTGTTTTCACTCGATGGCGTGAGTGGGTCAAAAAAATATTGAGTATAAAATTAACGAGAATCGGTAATGACGCCGAGGAGAATTTCTTACTCATTTTTTTCTCAAGTTATTTCAATGTGCGACGAGTTGGACGGAGAAGGTAAAAGAATGTGAAAGTGGTCCACCCGCGGGGCACAGGTGTTAAATGTGTGCTTCATGTTTCACTTTTTATTGCGAATAGTATAAATATTCAATGCGCCTATTTATTCCTATCTACCCATTTCTCTTAACAATTCTCATCTTAATTGTTAACAGTGAATCCCGCAAATGTTTATCAACTTGAGTTCAATACAATTTTGTCAAAATTCCACGGAAATTCCCGAAGCTCTTTCCATTTTTCCATTCAATTATCGTCAAAGAATAATGAATAAGGAGAAAACTCCAGGAGAAAATGGAAATTTCATGTCATTTTTTCCTGAATTTCATCCATTTTACCTGAAACTTTTATTTCTCCATGCCCCCCCCCCCCCCCTGTGGGAATTACTCTCGTATTTTAAAAAGAATTTCTAAAAATTTATCGTAATGTCATTCAGAATTATTTTATAATTAAGACATTATTTTCCCTTCTAATTCAGCATTTTGGACGACTGGAATTTT